CTGCCACCCTCCACTACCACAGTTGCCACCCTCCACTGCCACAGTTACCACCTTCCACTACCACGGCTGCCACCCTCGACTACCACAGTTACCGTCCGCCACTACCACAGCTGCCACCCTCCAGTATCAGTTACCACCCGCCGCTACCACAGCTGCCACTCTCCACCACCACAGTTACCACCCGCCACTACCACAGCTGCCACCATCCTCTACTACAGCCGCTACCCTACAGAGTACTCTGGCAAATCTCACTACACAGACTGTGGCACCCCACTCTGTGCACATGGGAACGCTACATTGTACACTGTGGCACCCTTACTGTACATTGTGGCACCCCGCACTGCACATTGTAGCACTCCCTACTGTACACTGTGACACTCCCACTCTACGCTAACTGTGGCTCCCCCACTCTGCACTTACTGTGGCTGCCCCACTCTACGCTGACTGTGGCTCCCCCCCATTTTCCGCTATATCAGCCCCACTCTACACTGACTGTGGCACCCCATTCTACACTGTGGCACCCCCACTCTACACTGTAGCATCCCACTCTACACTGTCGCACCCCCACATTGCACTGTGGCACCTCCCCATTGTACACTGTGGCACCTCCCCATTGTACAATGTCTCGCCTCTCTACTGTGCACTGTGGCACCTCCCCACTGTACACTGTGGCACCTCCCCAATGTACACTGTGGCACTTCCCCACTGTACACTGTGGCACCTCCCCACTGTACACTGTGGCACCTCCCCAATGTACACTGTGGCACTTCCCCACTGTACACTGTGGCACCTCCCCACTGTACACTGTGGCACCTCCCCACTGTGTACTGGCACCTCTCCACTGTACATTGTGGCACCTCCCCACTGTACACTGTGGCACCTCCCCACTGTATACTGGCACTTCCCCACTGTGCACTGGCACCTCCCCACTCTACACTGAGGCACCTCCCCACTGTATACTGGCACTTCCCCACTGTACACTGTGGCAGCTCCCCACTGGACACTGTGGCACCTCCCCACTGTACACTGTGGCACCTCCCCACTGTACACTGTGGCACCTCCCCACTCTACACTGTGGCACCTCCCCACTCCACACTGTGGCATCTCCCCACTCTACACTGTGGCACCTCCCCACTCTACACTGTGGCATCTCCCCACTCTACACTGTGGTCAACCTCCCCACTCTACAACTGTGGCATCTCCTCACTCTACACTGTGGCACCTCCCCACTGTACACTGTGGCACCTCCCCACTCTACACTGTGGCACCTCCCCACTCTACACTGTGGCACCTCCCCACTCTACACTGTGGCATCTCCCCACTGTACACTGTGGCATCTCCCCACTGTACACTGTGGCATCTCCCCACTACACTGTGGCATCTCCCCACTGTACACTGTGGCACCTCCCCACTGTACACTGTGGCACCTCCCCACTGTACACTGTGGCACCTCCCCACTGTACACTGTGGCACCTCCCCACTCTACACTGTGGCACCTCCCCACTCTACACTGTGGCACCTCCCCACTCTACACTGTGGCACCTCCCCACTCTACACTGTGGCTCCTCCCCACTGTACACTGTGGCACCTCCCCACTCTACACTGTGGCACCTCCCCACTCTACACTGTGGCACCTCCCCACTCTACACTGTGGCACCTCCCCACTGTACACTGTGGCACCTCCCCACTCTACACTGTGGCACCTCCCCACTGTACACTGTGGCACCTCCCCACTCTACACTGTGGCATCTCCCCACTCTACACTGTGGCACCTCCCCACTCTACACTGTGGCACCTCCCCACTCTACACTGTGGCACCTCCCCACTCTACACTGTGGCACCTCCCCACTCTACACTGTGGTACCTCCCCACTCTACACTGTGGCACCTCCCCACTCTACACTGTGGCACCTCCCCACTCTACACTGTGGCACCTCCCCACTGTACACATGTGGCACCTCCCCACTCTACACTGTGGCACCTCCCCACTCTACACTGTGGCACCTCCCACCCCTCTACACTGTGGCACCTCCCCACTCTACACTGTGGCACCTCCCCACTGTACACTGTGGCACCTCCCCACTCTACACTGAGGCACCTCCCCACTGTACACTGTGGCACCTCCCCACTGTACACTGTGGCACCTCCCCACTGTACACTGTGGCACCTCCCCACTCTACACTGTGGCACCTCCCCACTGTACACTGTGGCACCTCCCCACTCTACACTGTGGCAACCTCCCCACTGTACACTGTGGCACCTCCCCACTCTACACTGTGGCACCTCCCCACTGTACACTGTGGCACCTCCCACTGTACACTGTGGCACCTCCCCACTCTACACTGTGGCACCTCCCCACTCTACACTTGGCACCTCCCCACTGTACACTGTGGCACCTCCCCACTCTACAACTGTGGCACCTCCCCACTCTACACTGTGGCATCTCCCCACTGTACACTGTGCACCTCCCCACTCTACACTCTGGGCACCTCCCCACTCTACACTGTGGCACCTCCCCACTCTACACTGTGGCACCTCCCCACTGTACACTGTGGCACCTCCCCACTCTACACTGTGGCACCTCCCCACTCTACACTGTGGCACCTCCCCACTCTACACTGTGGCACCTCCCCACTCTACACTGTGGCACCTCCCCACTCTACACTCTGGCACCTCCCCACTCTACACTCTGGCACCTCCCCACTCTACACTGACCGTTATATTCATCTTCCTACATTACATACATTATTTATCGCTCTACACTCTCTATAATCGCTCACTTCCTATTGAAGATACTTAATTTTCTAATAATTATCCATAACTCTCAAGTGACTGGTGTTCCCATCTCAGTGACTGGCATCCCCAGGTATTACACAGTGACTGTTATCCTTCAATATATATTAACAGTAGTGTACCTCAAATGGCATTGACTGGCATCCGTCCTTCTGTATTGACTGTGCATCCATCATTCTGCCTTGTGTTATCCCTCGGTCTGTATTGTTTGTGACATCCCTGAGTCTGCATTGACTGTCTTATTCCTCAGTCTATATTCACTGGGAAGTACAGTGCCTGCACTCTGAAGGAGGGGTGTTAATGTTGCAGCTTAAAAACTGTAGTGTAAAGCACCCTTCTGGCAAGACAGTGGAGTGAATGATGGTGAAAGTTTTTCTTTTTCGGGCCACCCTGCCTTGGCGAGAATCGGCCAGTGTGCTAATAAAATAAAAATATTCACTGTTGCAGCCCTCACTGTCTGTGACAACCCTGACTCTCTACTGACCGCGGGTGCTGACCCTACTCTTCCCTGACTCAGGAGTCAGGGTATACAAAACATTACACCGTTTAATTTACTCTCTTACTTGAGACCTTTTGTACGAAGTATATTTGCACCGTTTTATTTATCTATCAAGTTTTTTGGAATATTGATAAAGACATGCATGTTTAAATTATTTCTTTCCCGTTAATGGTTACAGAAATTATGAATTCCGCTGCCCGATAAGAAACAATGCCTTAATAATCGGAGAAAAGTATTTGCGGAATTAGAAATACCAAGAACTACAGGATAATAAGAATGAAAGCATAATGAATGTAAGTAAGAGAGGAGGATTTACCCGGTATCCAACATACATCTTGCACAGTAAGAAAAGATTTTTCTTGGCAGCCATTTCCCAGTCCCCAAGTACATCAAACATTTAAGATTGTATCGATTCGAAGTTGCTTCAACACGGATATCGTACCTTAAAGTATCATATTAAGTTTTGTAAAAAAAATTTAAAGACTCTTGCTTAATATTCCTAAAAAGGATAAAATAAAAATATTCTGTATAATTTGCATTTTTGCTGCAACACTGAAGGTAAACAAAACGACAGGTGCCTAGTTTCGTCATGACCCAACACCACCACCACATTTGTCTTCTTACGACTTTTAACCATCACAGCACTTGACTAGTGTTGGTGAGTGACTTCTCACCAACACAACAAAAGAGTCGTCTTTGAGTGACTTATTACCATCAACACAACGAAACAGACGTCTTTGAGTGTCTTATTACCATCAACACAACGAAACAGACGTCTTTGAGTGACTTATTACCATCAACACAACGAAACAGACGTCTTTGAGTGTCTTATTACCATCAACACAACGAAACAGACGTCTTTGAGTGACTTATTACCATCAACACAACGAAACAGACGTCTTTGAGTGACTTATTACCATCAACACAACGAAACAGACGTCTTTGAGTGACTTATTACCATCAACACAACGAAACAGACGTCTTTGAGTGACTTATTACCATCAACACAACGAAACAGACGTCTTTGAGTGACTTATTACCATCAACACAACGAAACAGACGTCTTTGAGTGTCTTATTACCATCAACACAACGAAACAGACGTCTTTGAGTGTCTTATTACCCCAACACAGCAATAGAGTCGTCTTGGATTATGATCATGTAACATGATCATGTAACATGATCATGTAACATGATCATGTAACATGATCATGCAACAAAGACAACCAACTGCAACTATACAGTCGTGTTGGACAGGCTGACAATTAGTTTTTTTACTTCAAGGCCACAGAGGTTAAACCCAAGTTTTAAATAAGTCGTTTTCACTAAAATGAAAAAAAATTGTCATTATTAACGTTGAACACAACATATAGTACCAGTGAAATAATTATGGGGAGTTTTAAATAATTTTGTAGAGTAAAACAAACGATCGATGAATTTGGCAAAACGATCGTTGTTAAATATGTTAAGTCAGTAAGTTGCAGCCATAAGTCACAACGTGGAATAACAGGAATATGACACAATTGTGATACGTTATTTACTGCGTATTTTAACGCTCTGGCGCCCTCAGTTCCGTCTGAAAACAGATATACTGGTTCTTTATAACGCATTAGAACCGGTTGCAGTGTTAAGTCAGGTTCACCTGAAATATGAAATGACTCGTTTAAACATCTCTAAAACATTAGTAAGTGGGCAGTGAGAGCAACATACCGTGTGTGAGGCCCAGCAGGACTAGGAGCAAGAAGTGACTTCTTGAAGTTCCATCCATGTCTAGCCAGGCACTACTAACTATTAAGTTATAACCACCAAATACACTTGTTGAAGCATTTATTCAGGAAATTATCATTTGTAATTCTATTCATGATACTTCTGGTGTAGGCATAACTTTTATGCAGGGAATAACTATCAGAAACACTTTATATCAGGTAACATTTTCTTCTCCTGTCTTAATAAAGCGGAGAAAGAACAGGGTCGAGGCAGCGTGCAGGAGACACCCACCACCTCAGCCGTCCAACTGACAACTGGCACTGAAGTGCCATGTTCATAGAGGTGAATAAAACTTAATCTTGTTTACTCGACGACTTAAGGAAAGGTAATTATAAAATTTAATATTCTTTATCTAGAATGGCATTACCATTTAAACTATAAACATTGTGTTACTCTCATTACGCTTATTCCTTTTCGGACAAGAAAACACCAGAGAGAAAATATACGTTGAACAATAATCGTACGTCAGACAGAGGAGAGTGGGACGCGGTTGTCATAGCAACGCACGTGAGGGGAGACGCTACATGACTTGTACATTGCTTCTGCGCTCCATGACCCTTGTAGGTTTAGAGCTTCTTTTTGATTATAATAATTGTAGCTTGGTAGTCTCCTCAGAGGAGGTTCCTCGACGCTGGTAAGAGGCTCTTGATCTAGGGAAGTGGATCTATGCTCAAGTTCCCTGATTTAAACCTTAATACCTTCCATCCTCCAAAGGCGTATCATTCTACGGGTTTAGCGCTCCCCTGATGATGATAATAGTTCAAGTGGATATCTAAATATTTTCTGTATGTTGCTTTTGTTTGCTACTTATTACATAGTCATTTATATTTGAATTTAAGTGCGTTATTTTTTTTTAATTTAGAGCATCTCAATAACTGGAGTCATCAAGGCTGTTTCAGCTCTACATCATAAGTCAAGATTAACTTAAATGTGTGTGTATATATATAATTTTATTTTCTTCAACAAGTCGGCCGTCTCCCAACGAGGCAGGGTGACCCAAAAATAAAGAAAATCCCCAGAAAGAAAATACTTTCATCATTCAACACTTTCACCTCACACATAATCACTGTTTTTGCAGAGGTGCTCAAAACACAACAGTTTAGAAGTATATACGTATAAAAATGCACAATATATCCCTCCAAACTACCAATATCTCAAACCCCTCCTTTAGAGTGCAGGCATTGTACTTCCCATTTCCAGGACTCAAGTCCGGTTATATAAAATAATCGGTTTCCCTGAATCCCTTCACTAAATATTACCCTGCTCACACTCCAACAGCTCGTCAGGTCCCAAATAGCATTTGTCTCCATTCACTCCTATCTAACACGCTCATGCACGCTTGCTGGAAGTCCAAACCCCTCTCCCACAAAACCTCTCCCACAACACCACCTCCAACATTTTCGAGGACGACCCCAACCCCGCCTTCCTTCTACAGATTTATACGCTCTCCGTGTCATTCTACTTTCATCCATTCTCTCCAAATGACCAAACCACCTCAACAAACCCTCTTTACCCCTCTAATACTTTTATTAACTCCACACCTTCTCCTAATTTTCCACACTCCGAAATTTCTGCATAATATTTACACCACACATTTCCCTTAGACAGGACATCTCCACTGCCTCCAACCGCCTCCTCGCTGCAGCATTCACAACCCAAGCTTCACATCCATATAAGAGTGTTGGTACTACTATATTTTCATACATTCCCTTCTTTGCCTCCATAGATAACATTTTTTCCCTCCACATATACCTCGATGCATCACTCACCTGGTATACTCAGTAAACTTATTCCTCTATAAATTTTATAATCTCTTTTGTCCCCTTTCTCTTAATATAAAAGGACTATACATGCATTCTCCGCCAATCCCTAGGTACATTCCCCTCTTTCATACTTTTATTAAACAAAATACCAACCACTCCAACACTGTTTCCCCCACTGTTTTTAACATTTCTGTCATGATCCCGTCAGTTCCAGCTGCTTTACTCCCTTTCATTCTACGTAATGCCTCACGCACCTCTCCCACACTCACATCCTGCTCTTTTTCACTCCTAAAAGATGATATACCTCCCTGGCCAGTGCATGAAATTACCGCTTCCCTTTCTTCGTCAACATTTAAAAGTTCCTCGAAATATTCTCGCCATCTACCCAAAACCTCCATCTCCCCATCTACTAACTCCCCTACTCTGTTTTTAACTGACTAATCCATTTGTTTCCTAGACTTCTTAATTTGTTTACCACCAAATTTTTTTCTTATTTTCATTAAAATTTCTTGACAGTTCCTCTCCCACTCTATCATCCACTCTCCTTTTGCACTCTCTCACCACTCTCTTCACCTTTATTTTACTCTCCATATACTCTACTCTTCTTATAACACTGCTTTGTAAATACCTCTCATAAGCTACCTTTTTCTCTTTTATCACACCCTTTACTTCATCATTCCACCAATCACTCCTCTTTCCTCCTGCCCCCACCCTCCTATAACCACAAACTTCTGCCCCACATTCTAATACTGCATTCTTAAAACTATTCCAACCCTCTTCAACCCCCCACTACTCATACCTGCACCAGCCCACCTTTCTGCCAATAGTTTGCTTTATCTCACCCGAACTTTCCTCCTCCTTAGTTTATACACTTTCACCTCCCTCTTGTTGTTGCCATTTTTTTTTTTCCCCATCTACCTCTTACTCTAACTGTAGCTAACAACTAGATAATGATCCGATATATCAGTTGCCCCTATATAAACATGTACATCCTGGAGCCTACCCTCAACCTTTTTATCCACCAACACATAATCTAACAAACTACTTTCATTACGTGCTATATCATACCTTGTATATTTATCCTCTTTTTCATAAAATATGTATTACTTATTACCAAACCTCTTTCTACACATAGCTCAATTAAAGGCTCCCCATTTTCATTTACCCCTGGCACCCCAAATTTAACCTACTACTCCCTCCACAACATTTTACTCACTTTAACATTAAAATCCCCAACCAAAAGCACTCTCACATTTGGTTCAAAACTCCCCACGCATTCAATCAACATTTCCCAAAATCTCTCTCTCTCTCCTCTACACTTCTCTCTTAACCAGGTGCATATACGCTTACTATAACCTACCCTCTCACATCCAACCTTTATTATTACTCCATATAATCCTTGAATTAATACATTTATAGTCCCTCTTTTCCTGCCATAGCTTATCCTTCAACATTATTGCTACTCCTTCTTTAGCTCTAACTCTATTAGAAACCCCTGACCTAATCCCATTTATTTCCTCTCCACTGAAACTCTCCCACCCCCTTCAGCTTTGTTTCACTTAAAGCCAGGACATCCAGCTTCTTCACATTCATAACATCCACAATCATCTCTTTCTTATCACTTGCACAACATCAACGCACATTCAGACTTCCCACTTTGACAATTTTCTTCTTATTCTTTTTAGTAATCTTTACAGGAAAAGGGGTTACTAGCCAATTGTTCCCGGCATTTTAGTTGACATTTACAACACGCATGGCTTACGGAGGAAAGATTCTTATTCCACTTCCCCATGGATATAAAAGGAAAAGTAATAGCACGAACTATTAAGAAAAAATCAAAGAAAACACAGATGAGTGTGTATAAATAAACATGTACATGTATGTGTAGTGTGACCTAAGTGTAAGTAGAAGTAGCAAGACGTACCTGTAATCTTGCATATTTATGAGACAGACAAAAGACACCAACAATCCTACCATCATAAGAACATAAGAACATAAGAAAGGAGGAGCACTGCAGCAGGCCTGTTGGCCCATACTAGGCAGGACCTTTACAATTCATCCCACTAACAAACATTTGACCAACCCAATTTTCAATGCTACCCAAGAAATAAGCTCTGATGTGCAAGTCCCACTCAAATCCAACCCCTCCCACTCATGTACTTATCCAACCTAAATTTGAAACTACCCAAAGTCCTAGCCTCAATAACCCAACTAGGTAGACTGTTCCACTCATCAATTACCCTATTTCCAAACCATATACTTACCATACCATAATGGTATTGTAGTAATACCGCACCTAAGCCAGTATTGGAGGCATCAGTTCTTAAACAAAATGTTTTATTAATATCTGGAATCTTAAGTATAGGGTCTTTCGAAAAGATACTTTTAATCTCATTAAACTTTTCCCGAGCTACGTCGGAAAGTTCAAGAGGTTCCTTCACAGACTTTTTAAGGAAGTCGGATAAGATGCCTGTAAGATCAGTAAGGTTCGGGATAAACCGTGCATATAAATTTACAGAACCAAGAAAGCTACGCATGAGCTTCTTGGTTTTTGGGGAAAAATAAATTCTAATAAAGCTTTGATCTTACTGGGGAGAGGCTGCAGAGAGTTATTAAAAGTATGGATCCAAGATATCTAATTTTGTTAAACCCAAGGAAGCATTTCTTCGGCTTGGCAGTGAGGCCATGTGAGCGTAACATACGCAAAACTGATGTTAATGTTTGGATATGCTCGCCCCATGTGGATGTCATTATGTAAATGTTATCAAAAAACTGAAACATTTGGCATTTTACCCAAGACCTTTCTCATCAGTCTCACGTAAGTAGCACAGGCAGTTACCAAACCCAAAAGGCATAGTTCTATACTCCCATCAGTCCTTGGTGAGTAGGAAAAGCGGTGTACTGCTTAGAAGAAGGATCTAACCTTACTTGATGAAAATGCCTGCGCAATATCAATCTCTGAAAAGAAGGAAGCGTCATAAAATTTGTGTAGATCGCTATCTATTAAGGGCATAGGTTCAGCATCCCACCGACTTATAGCATTAAGGCCTCTGAAGTCAACAGCAAGTCTATATGAATTATCCTCCTTCTTAACCATGACTACTGGTGAGAATATGCAATACTGAAGGTTCAATGATCTTTAGTTTTAATAATTTGTCTACCTCTAGGTCAAATGCATCCCTAAGGTGAACTGGAACTGGGTATAATTTTCGTTTGATAGGATTGTCCGTCACTAAGTCAATCTTATGGACTACCGTGAAGGTAACACCTGGAATATCAGTAAAGACGTCTGAAAAGTTACTCACACACATTGAAGTAGTTCATGTCTCTTATGGTCATCCAAAGATTCATTAATATTAATGTTGGTAGCATCCGAGTGGTCAAGAGTCACCAAGTCATGTAGTTCTTCATCATAGTCTATGTTAGAGGTGTCAATTACGCACACCTTACATTCTTCAGTTGTCGTATCAAGTTCG